TACTGTTGGTGTTTATTTAGCATCACCGCTTTATCTCAAATATTCCCACTGCTAGGTAATAATGCCAGCTGGAGGTTATTTTTCGTCGCAGTTGCTGGCTTGGTTTTTATCTATCAGTAAATGTCTTGTTGAAATGGGATGGCGAATAATATTAAGAAATTAGTAAAAGTAGTAAAATTATTTTAACAAAATTATTATAATGGTAAGAAATGTTTCGGTCCATTAACCATTTTCATATCTTTCGAAATTTCCGAGCGTAAGAGGAGGCGCGCGGAGGAGAAGCGCAGTTACTGATGAAGGCGGGAAAACTGCACTGGCTTTAATGGAAGGAACGATGAAGCGGGAGCACCTGAAAAAATCTCTTACCCATCCTCACCTCCAGATTCATACGTACAATAAGTATTATTCTTGTATATTTATATATTTGTATTAAATTTCAGGTTGACATGGATCGTGCCATACTTCAATTACAGCAAATGCTACAGCAAATTGACCGCGCCTCAATGGACGCTTCCCAGGATCAGTTGCCGAGAAGTGCTGTTACGGAACAACGTGTCCATCAGCAAATCCTTCATGCTTGTCAGTCCGTCTACGACAGGTATACTACTAGAATTTAATTGCTCACAAATTTAGTGTAAATATTCATCATTGATAGTGTTACAAGATTGCCGGAGGAGTAGTACTACAAATTCCAGTAGTACTCGCCTGTACTTATTTATATGCGCTGCTTTAAAATTTTTGGACCGGAACATTCCAATTCAGTTTTATTTTTATTTTTAAATTATTAATTTTTGTTACAACCTTTTCCATAACCATAAAATTTTCAAATTTGATTAATTTTTTCCATAACCGAGCCCCTCAGAATTATGCGCGGGATCTATGAATTTTTGACAGTGCGATCAGCACTTCCCCCTTTCCGGATTTTACTTCTCATGACCGCAGCTTATTTTAAATACCGCTTATTTGACATGGCGCCTGCCTTCTTGGATATTCCAAAGAAATTTTTCTGACGTATTGTTGTCTCCTCGACAGGTTGAGAAAGTGGAACGATAAGGATTAATCAAAAAGAAAACCGAAAAGAAAAGGATTTTTCTGAAAAGGATTAACCAAAGAATTACACAAAAAAACGTATTTTTTTTAATACGAGAAACGTATCTATTGCATAAGTTACTTTTGTCAGTTTAACCACTCGCTAATACAGCTAAATGGTTGTTTCTTTTGCTTCCGTAATAATAAATCAGAATCATATCCCCTCGGTAATTCATTGTTTGTGGAATACGAAGGTATTCAGAGGTAGTCCGAGCAGTGGCAGATGCCATTACCAAGCCAGTACTGAGTCTGCCAATAGCACTCTCTCCGATGATTTGATTAGAAACAGGCTGAAGACGACCACTTGACATGTACTGATACTGAAAAGAATGGACAGATTGTATGCTAGCATCACTGAATCCTTGGCTTTCAGCATCAGAGCATCTAAAATTGCCATTACAACACCCTGCCTCTGAGCTTAGTTTAGGACATCGAGATGATCGGAAAAATCGGGGAAAACCTTTTGACGTTTCAACAGCAACTAGCTAATTCCAGGCTTCCTCATTTTGGACTTTTGTTTCTAATTGCCATTTACCTGGACATATACCGTCTTTTTTACATTTGTCCCTGCGGCCGTGGTCACTCTTCACACATAAATCATTAGTTCATGTAAAATAAAGTATGAGCAAAACCTACGAATTTTTTGGAAAAAGTGAGCAGCACATTCTCCCCTTGCCGAATTTTACTTCTCGTGTCTTTAATTGAGTTATGCGCATTTTGGCGTTTGGTGCAAAAAGTTAAAAATTCAGTCACATTATTCTCGGATGAAACTTGCGTTTTTCTCAGAATTGAACCACTACGTGAAGCAGCAATTGGACGTAGCGAAGAGCTTGGGCACACAGTACGTGAACATATGGAAGCAATGGAACCACTGGTGCAGTCCTCAATACAAGCAGCATCGATAAGCTACGATACGAAATCGCAGACAACAATCTTTGAGCAATGCAAAACAGTTGTTGAAGCGGAACTGCAAATGCTCTATGGATGTAAAGATGCAGGGGGAAATCCGAAGGTTCGCGACGGTCAAAATTTTCGAGATTTTAAACAATAAAAAACATAAATTTCCGAAGTTTTATTAAGATATAAGATATAAAATGAGCAAAATGCTCCAGCAGTGAATAGATCTCACTTTAAATTTTGTCTTAACAGTACTGACGATGAAATTGTTCGAGCAGATGAGCCCAGTGAGAGATCAACCTGTAGATAGTGCGTTATCGCATTACAGTCAGCTGGTTCTCTTATTTCGCTGCACATTTTCTGTACTTTCATGGTTAATCAGTTATAATCTCAGTGATTTTTAACAAATTCTCACTAAATATACTGTTACTATGAGTTGCTGTGGTCGTTATAACGACGGTATTGCTCTCGACATTATCAGTTGACGAAGTTTCATATTTATATAAGAAATACATGCACAACTCATATGTTCGATTCGACGCTCCGACGTTGAGTTCTGCATTTTTATATGTAGAAATACGTTCAAAAATACTACTAGATGCTTCACTGAGGTTTATATTTTCTAACTTTATATTGCAGCTCGCCAGCAAAATTTTCCCTATGTTTTAGCAAATTCTGTGTTGCTCAAATTAAATTTTGTCACCTTTTTTCCAATTTTTTGCAGTTTCTTCCTTCTGCTATCAATTTTTGGTTCTTAAAAGCCGAAGCAGCAATGGTTGTCCGTTACAACACCTGCTTATATCTGCATCAGTTTTTCGTACAGTTTATTACATCTGTGCGGTATTTTACTTTTTTAGGCCCATGAATTGCATGTGATAGTGAATGATAGTGCCAATCAGTTACGTGATGCGCTGGCCGAGA